ATTTTCCATGACTTTACGGCACCTAAATGTGTAGAATTGATCAGATTTTTAGAGCTAAATCTGAAATGTGAACTCTTTCCACTCATTTTATGGTTTGGGATTATAGTTTTTAACATTCAAAATCGTCTCTTTTAAACAAAAAGCTCAGACGTTCGGAAATAATCAGAATAATCTAATGAGAACTTAACAGAACGCTGAAAGAGATACTAAATTTTCATGACTTTTCCAAAACTTTCCGTAACTTTTCCAGGATTTCCATGACCGTGGGAACCCTGGATGTTATAGTTTTGGCCTTGAATGTTTTTATGGCAGAGCATGAAACGCATCTGCTTATATTGATACTTTGTGTATCTCTGTCTAAAGATGTTACTCAAACTAGACGTCAATCTGAGCTTCATTTCACACAATCTGACCAGAAGAAAACTGACATACCGTATTTTTTGGACTATAAGGCGCAATATCAGTAATGTTGAATTCTCTCGTCTATTTTCATACATAAGTGGATTATAAGGAGCATTAAGCGAAACAAACGGACGACACTTGAGACTGATCCTTAGTCCAGGCGTCCAAGATCCATCGGCAAATCGTAGCGTAATTCGCCCGGCGTTTCCTCCCTGTCTTGGTGAATGTGGATTATGAATGTGAATGTGGGTGGATCATTTAAGTTTTTTTTTTTATTTCCTATGACGAGGACTCAAATATACATTGAGTAATAATGTGTTTAATTTGTTTATGCTTTACAGAAACAAAACTTAAAACCAGAAACTTTTTGAAACATTTGCAGAAACTACAAGCGCTGAAAAACGGCTCTTTCCTTGTGCGCTGATGCGGTTCAGCTTCTGTCGGACTAAAGGACGCGACTCAGTGGAATATGTTTGTTCTTTCTGTGACAGAGGACGTGCTGCTGATGGTGAGTCTGTTCTGTGCTTCTATCACGTTGGAGTCGACGCGGAACTATACTTTACTCTTTACTCCGTGAGGCTCCTGACTACAGTAGCCGTAATGCTCCGACAATCCATCAGTTTTCATAGTTTACCAAAGTCGTACTAAAACATTTTGACAGATTTTTGAGCTCCGTGTACCACATAAAATCAGTTCGAGGTCAGTAAACACAACCAGAATTAATACATAAAGCGCACTGTCGACTTCTAGATAAAATTAAATTATTTTAAGTGCGCCTTATAGTCCGAATAATACGGTAGTTGGAATTACAACAGGTGAGCTGATTTGTGCTTTTAAACAAGTCTTTCTGAATGCGTTACAGTCGCTCTTATCTAATGTCAAATGTCTAAAGATACACTATAATGTACTTAACTACTGAAACTCACGTAGATGAAATATTGTAAATTGTAGGGTAGAATTAAAATAAAATATGCTTCTTCGTACTCCTTTTTTGAACTCTGAATGTTTTTGAACAATTTTATTCTCTTTGTTTTGTTTTGTTGGTTCTTTCTTTGTTAAACGTACATGTTCTGAGAGCATGGAGACTATATGTTTTGTGTTTTTTTTTTAAGTTCAAATAAATTAACTCTTAACTTTTTTGTTGAAAGTTTTGAGTTTTCCGGCAATTTTAAAATGTTTTAGGCATTGTGTAAGCATCATAACTCCTGAAGATTCCACCATATACATAAACACTGCTCCCGCCCAGCTTTATGTCACTGCAAAGTATCCACAGACACAACAAGGCAAAGGTACGGGTCAGATCTGTGAAGAGGCAAGCCTGCGTCAGTAAGAACGCATGATATCAAACTGGACACCTATTAAAAAAAAGATAAACGCAATATTCGTATTGTGAAACGTACGGTGGAACATTCAGCTACAAAAAAAAAACATCAACGTGGGCAGAAGAAAATGACGAACCCTCCATCGGAAAAGTTACTTAGTGCTCCTTTAAAGGTTGTATAGAGGATTTTTTAAGGGAAAAGAAATACAGCGACAGTCCTTTTTCAAATGTCGTGCATGCGTGACACCACCTTCCTCCTCCACAGCTCCTCAGTAGAAACATCTCCTCCCGCCTCTTTACTCTAGAAATCACGTTTGTTTACAGTCAGTGCACGTTCAGAAATACTGTTGAAGTGACCTGTCTAGAAATAATTTAGCGACCGACGCATCAGTTTTTAGACCCTTCGTCTGCTTCGTTTGCGTAATCGCTGGAAGAGATCTCCGAGAATCACCTCAGTTTGTCTTTGCTCCTTTTCCCCTTCTCTTCTTCTTTCAGCGACCTCAAAAGCGGACTTTCTTTTGCGGCGAACTGGTCGTGGATTCTCATCCGCCATCGCTACAAACTTTGTGCGAACTGCGAGGAAGCGACAGTTTGAAAAACCCGCTAAGAACCGCCGCATAAACCACGAAATCCCTGCACGCCGACGAGTCAGTTACACTAGAAACATAAAAAGTTTGATTGATGATCTAACAGCCAATAGAAAATGAGGGAGCCTCGTTTTCTATTGGCTGATGTTTATCTGGCGTCACTACATCCACAGTTGATAGATTTTCATTCTTTTTTTTTTGGTCATCATAATTACAAAGCTGCTGCGTCTCTGTAATGGTGTTTTAAACTTTCACTGACAATTTGAAACAAAAAAATAATTCCTCCATACAACCTTTAAATGTCATATCAAAATGAAGCTTGTGTTTCGTATTAGAGTCTGGAATAGTTTTACACTGATACATATTGGATAATGGTCTCAAAAAGTAAATACACAGAAATATCGACAGAATTCATTAGAAATAGTCGATTTAAATTTTTCGTCAGTTCTTTTACTAATGCCTTTCAGGTGATGTGTTATTGCTTAGTATGAAATGTTCCACAGTACGGCATTAGACTTATCGAACTCCGTGGGAATAAGCAGGTGATGGCAGCAGACCAAGAGGCAGCTCAGTTTTGTTGAATAAAATGGAAAGTTTTTTTTTTTTTTAATACAATATACGCAAGATATACAGGTTTAATGCCACACTGTGAAACATTTCAGGCAAAACTATATTATCTCCACGGTAGAAGCTGAACGATTTTAAGAAAAAATTGAATTGCGATTTTTCTGGCAGCATTGCAATTTCGATTCGATCCGTGATTTTTTCTCAAATCAAGTTTCAGTGCACACGAACATTTACAAACATCACAAAAACTTACATCAGACCAGAGTCCTGCACCGACGATTTGACGCTGGACCTTAAAACCCGATTTACGCAGAAAATAAGAGCCGTGATTGGTCGTCTCTACCGCCGCATTTCCTGTAGTCCGCTTTCCTTTCTTTCGACATACACTGAGTACTAATGTGTTTAATGCAGCTTTGAGCACATTTGTTTACGTTTTACAGAAGCAAAAGTTAAAACCACATGACTCATTTGCATATCACTGTTTGGCAAGTGACTTTAAAACCGTAATGTGTTATTTATGACGTGTTACTGTCATTTCAAAGTCATTTGTTACATGACAATATTACTGAGTTTAAAATGTAAAATATTACACGATTATTGCAGCACTTTTAAGATACTCACCAGAAGAACTGCGAAGATGCTGAACTTTTGTGCCGACTAAAACCAAGACTAAACCAGGACTGAACCAGGACTGAACCAGGACTGAACCAGGACTGAACCAGGACTAAACCAGGTCTAAACGAGGACTGAACCAGGACTGAACCAGGACTGAACCAGGACTAAACTAGGTCTAAACCAGGACTGAACCGAGGACTAAACCAGGACTAAACTAGGTCTAAACCAGGACTAAACCAGGACTGAACTGAGGACTAAACCAGGACTAAACCAGGACTAAACCAGGTCTAAACCAGGACTAAACCAGGACTAAACCAGGTCTAAACCAGGTCTAAACCAGGACTAAACCAGGACTGAACCGAGGACTAAACTAGGACTAAACTAGGTCTAAATCAGGTCTAAACCAGGTCTAAACTAGGACTAAACCAGGACTAAATCAGGTCTAAACCAGGACTAAACCAGGACTGAACCGAGGACTAAACCAGGACTAAACTAGGACTAAACTAGGTCTAAACCAGGACTAAACTAGGTCTAAACCAGGACTAAACCAGGACTAAACTAGGTCTAAACCAGGACTAAACCAGGACTAAACCGAGGACTAAACCAGGACTGAACTGAGGACTAAACCAGGACTAAACTAGGTCTAAACTAGGACTAAACCAGGACCAAACCAGGACTAATAAGCGCTAAAAAAACAGCTCGCTCCTTGTGCGCTGATGCGGTTCAGCTTCTGTCGGACTAAAGGACACGACTCAGTGGAATATGTTTGTTCTTTCTGTGACAGAGGATGTGCTGCTGATGGTGAGTCTGTTCTGTGCTTTTATCTCCTTGGAAATGGTTCATGTTAAATTTTACACGAACAGCAGGTTTAAATCCTCGCCTCCTCGTGTTGTGGCGGTGAATTACTTCGCGGCGCATAGACCTCGACCATCGACCGTATATATGACTGGACATAGTTAATGTTCTAACCGTCGTGTGCCAAACGCGAAGTTCGTCAGGAGGCTCTTCCGGCTCCTTCTGACATTTTGGTCTTAAAATGTTCTTATTAACCCCTGACACATGCTCCTGAATTTTGTTTTCGCTATTTTGACGTCACACTAACTTAGTCCACTTCTTTTGTACCGTCTATGACCTCGACGCAGACCCATAAATCAAAAACGACGGCGACAGTGTGAGCCGAGTCGACGCGGAACTAAACTTTAGGAGCACTGCAAAAAAACGTGGCTTTGACGGTCCCAAAATCGTGTTGTCTGAGGTTGTGATTTTCGGTCCAAAACGATAGATCGATCAGCCCTGTTCCATGGAGACAAGAAGGTGGATCCACGGACAAGCTGCATAGTGCACTTACATTATTTCTGAGCAAATCCACACACAAAGGTCCACAACTGAGCACAACGAATACAAATAAAATCAAAATAAACACATTTGCAACAACCAGTTTGTGTGTCATTATTCAGGCCGGAAAAAACAAAAAAAAAACACAAAAAACAAAACTCAAGAGTCTCAGGACGGTTCAGAGCACTTTTACTTCTTCAAGTTAAACCCGCAGGCTCCTGAGTGGAACCGTTCCTTCAAACGACATTCACGTGGGTCCAGATACTCTAATGTAAGAACTGCACACCGCTCCGTCCTCTGTCAAACCCCCAGCGCCGGACACAGGACGTCCAGCTCCTTCTGCGCCTCGAGAGCCTGGAGGAAAACACAAAAACACACATCTGTCCATTTAATGTCATCTCCATTCAGTATTTGATCTAGAGATGTGGTTTATCCCAATTAAATGTGTCTGAAATGAGCTGATCGGCTCAAGCACGAGTCCTCGCAGGAGTTTTAATTACAGAAGATGTCATGGTGTTAATTTTCATTGAATTATTTTACTATTCTCGACTCGGTTTTATTTATTTTGTGTTTTGACTTCCTGTTGTATTGATTGTTTGCCCCGCCGTAATGTGTCTCATTTGTGTGCATATTTACCCTTTGCCCTTTGTTGGTTCATTTGTCATTATCAGTGTCACGTCTGTTTGGATTTTTGTGTTTAGTCATTCTTTGTTTCATTAAAACAAATTGCAGTCTTGCAATTTTGTCCCACTTCTGCTCTAAACGTGACAGAAGACGCGCTCAGGAAAACTTGCACAAATGCTTAGTCCAGGGGTGTCAAACTAATTTTGGTCCGGAGGCCGTATTCAACCTACTTTGATCCCAAAGGGGCCGGAAAAAAAAAAAAAAAGGCATATAAACCCCAAAAATAACAATAAGTTCAAATATTTGTGCAGAGAAACACAAATCTATTACAGAAATCTTTTTTAATTGATGAACTCTTTCTTTTACAAAATATTATAATATTATGAACAACCTGAAACTTTAAGGAAAATACAATTTCAACACAATGTTTTAACATGAACTTGTATGTAAATAGGAACAAGTCAATTGTTCTTGTAAAATCCTGCACTCGGCTCCACTTTTCTCATGTTGGACATTTTTCTGATGAGGGTGTCACGGTCAACAGTCAAAACGATCGTCCTTTAAGAGCGTTTGGAAAGAGACAAGTCTTCATTTGTGCTGCTCTGGTGGGAGGGGCCACGTACAGAGACGCTGGAGACGCTGCTGTGATAAACACCACAGAAAATTAACAATATTTTAATAGAAAATATAATTAAAATATTTTAGTAGAAAATCAGCTGAGGGCCAGATTAAAGGTCTTGGGGGGCCGGATCCAGCCCCCGGGCCGTATGTTTGACACCCCTGACTTAGTCTAATATTAAATGTAAATGTATGAGGTGTGAATATATTGCATCTGTCTTTCTTTTTAATTTATTCTTTATAGATTCTGCATGACCAGAGATGTGCAAACTGAATTACGCTTTGGGATAAATAAAGTTGTTGCCTGATTGATTGATTTATTCAATTATGAAATTAAATGATTACACCTGGATTCTTGTGTTCAGTATAAATTTGGTCCACCCCGATTCTTTCTGTCTCATTAAAACTTCTCTCTAAATCAAATCCCTTGTACAGATTTATTGTCTAAGCAGCTCTTGAGTGCACTGTGTACTGTCTGAATCTAATTATAAAGATTATTATTGTAACAGGAAGTGCACGGTTAGCATACTAGTGGTTTTTTGACTTTGACTCTACTCTGGCCTCCTGAGAGCTGTGAAAAGTGCTTCTAAACTCATCATGTTGAATAATTAGGACACTTTGAATGAATAAAGTGAGTGAGGAAGAACTTTGGGCGTCTGCGAACTGTTTCAAATGAACTCGTTCTGTTTTTCACATTTTGATGACAGTAAAAATCAGGTCGAGCGCCTTTAAACACGCCTCCCCTGTGCTGCCGTGTGACATGCGGTTCTCTCTGTTTGTAGTGATTACCTGTTAAAGATCAGGATTAATTACAGATTATTACATTAACCCGGGTCACGGCGGAAAAGCTGCTCTTGTGCCCGGAGCTGTACCTCTTTTAATTCGGCTTGTGCTGAGTTTGCAGCTTCACACATCCTCCGAGCCCGCTCGCTCTGCCCCAGGTCTCTGTAGCACTGCCAAGCACAACAGCAGCACGTGTCAGTGGGACATTACACAAAAGTCATTTTGTTAATTTTGTCAAAATGTTTGGATATGAATGTTTGGTTCTGACTTAGATTTGTTTTGTACTTCCGGGTCATCGTAACCCCAGAATGTTTTGTGTTGCAGTAAGAATGGCCTGATTAAGTTGTGTTTTGTTTCTTTCACACGTTTAACTTCACACAAGCCTGCATATTAAGAGTTCAGGAAGTGCTCCACTGTGTTTTTAAACTCCATACACCTTCACTTGAATCATTTGAATAATTTCAGCCCTGAAATCGACCATCTCTGAAGCAATAAGTGTGTTTACTTGCACATCAGTATCCCAGTTATTATCCATATCCCGGTTATGTCAGTGTTCGGAATAAGTGAGTAAATAAGTATATATATATATATATATATATATATATATATTATATATATATATATATATATATATATATATATATATATATATATATATATATATATATATATATATATATATATATATATATATAGCGAGGCTGCCATGCCAATCGACACCATTGGTCCCTCTGACCAACACCATCACTCACACACACCATTTTCAGACTAGGCAATGTGGGTGAAGTGTCTTGCCTAAGGACACAACAACAGTATTTTTTGTGACTGGCGCCTCCTGTGGCTCCTGATTTTCCCAGTGTCTCCCATCGAAGAACTAACCAGGCCCGACCCTGCTGAGCTTCTGAGATCGGACGGTATGGATACTGCGTTTACATGCACACTGAGAAACTGGGACACTCATATCCCTGTGCACATGATCAAATACAGTGTCCTGGTTTCTTGACATAATCTTACAAATGCACAAGCGCAAAAATTATATAATTAATAAAAAAGGAAGTTCGGGAGGCTCGGCAAGTTGCTCTGATCCACTACAGCAGATCAAACCGAACTTTCCAAACAAACTGCAACAGATTCTTAATTAAAATCTTAAATAAATAAACTCAACTTTACAACATATAAACATATCCACTGTAGAGCCACATCAGCCCGTTTCATCATATAATTCAGCTTTGCCACATTTGTTTACGTTTTACAGAAGCAAAACTTAAAACCACATGAATCATTTGCATAAACGTAAGAGCTAAAAAAACAACTTCCTCCTTGTGCGCTGATGTGGTTCAGCTTCTGTCGGACTAAAGGACATGACTCAGTGGAATATGAGTGTTCTTTTTGTGACAGAGGATGTGCTGCTGATGGTGAGTCTGTTCTGTGCGTATGTCGAGTTGGAGATGGTTCATGTTTAACTTTTCAGAGATTATACGAGCGCAGAATGTACGTGTGCAGGTTTAGAGCTGCTCTTTAGGTATTTCACTCATGTATGGTCACTTTATTTATGTCGGTCACTTTGTTTATGTTGGTCACTTTATTTATGTTGGTCACTTTATTTATTTTGGCTTCTGTTGTGATGAAAAGAATGAAAAGTGTTTCTCTTTTTGACATGCGCACTTAACTTTATGTTGCAGTAACCATGCACCATGACAAAACCGGGATACTCAAAAAAAAAAAAAAAAAAAGGTTCATAACCGGGATACTGATGTGCACGTAAACACACTCAATTACTGAAGAAAAGATTTAAAAAAAAAAAAAAAAAAAGATAGCAAACAACTTGAAAACTTCCGCTTTCTGACATCACAAGTTGGAACAGAGCAATTTGAGTTTTGGAGAAGTAGACAGACTAATACTAAATAATTACTCAGACATGTGTGAATGAAACAAAACACTAGTCCGGGTATGTCTTTGAGGAGGTAACAACATTAAAACACGGCTTAATGCGCAGAAGAATCCATTTTATGCAACCTTTTAAACGATCGGAATCCCTCAGGGCGGCGTACTTGCCCCTTTAAACTTCACCAATCATCTCCCACTGACCTTTGCGAGATACACGTAGTTGAGTTTGGAATATCCCGGCTGGATCTCTTCAACCTGAAAAACATTGCCAACAGGTTATTCGTAACAAGCGTTGGAGCCTCCGTGGAGTTTAAGACAGACAGCCGCTGCTTTGGGTCACGAGCGGCAAGTCTCAACACGGTCCACTTAAATCAACTGGGAAGACTATCCACACGAGACTAGAGCTGGGGAAATCTTGGCTGGAAGCAGTAGGGTTCACATTTGTGCTACATAAACAAATGAAATGTGGGAACGTGGAGATTAAGTTGTTTTAAATGCCGTGGGTTTGGCCTAAGAAAACTACTGCTTGGTACAGAAGCGACCCGAAGGCATGTTGCAATTGAAAAGCCCTAGACAAATATGACGCGAGTGAAGCGGAGCATGCCTCATAAACGAAAAATGTGTAACGATTAAAACAACACCTCCGTGAAGTTTCAAAAAAAAGGGGACGTAGTTTGGAAATTTCCCCCGAGTGTGGAGTACTTTTTAATCTCTCTCCCCTTTTATGTTATGTAAATGGTGACACTGCGCGGCTTTCATGTGGTTCTTTGAAACTGGCAAACGTGGGTTCAGATTTGCAGGTTGGTTTTCTGGATCGGAGCCACGGATCGTCAAAACTACACTTGGCAAATCGTTACCTTCAATCAGCGATAGCCACTAATGTGAGGTTATTATGCGTCAAATATTTGCTTCTTGCATAAACTGGAAAGATGACGCAGGAATGTAATGGTGATACTAAGCATTTTTATACACCCAGTACGCTTAAAAGTTTTAGAACACCAAACTTTATCGAGTTTTTGAAATGTATTTTAAACTTTTGATTCATGAAAGTGTCTGTCTTTGGCAGATATAACAGCTGAACACACTCGTGGCTCGTTCTTTTTACAATAGAAATCAAATATTCTTCAGAATGTTCTTCGCAAGTCTATTGCAGACGTATCCATAAATGTGTGGCACTTGTAGGTTGTTTGGTTTTCGTTCTTCTGTCCAGTTCATCCCAAACCAGCTCGACGGGGTTTAAATCTGGACACTGTGCTGCTGGACACTTCATGTTTTCAAGCTTTACCGTCTTGTTCTTTTTTCCTGAGGGAGTTTTGGCAGAGCTTGGACTTGTGTTTTGTTCTTTTATCTTTTTTTTTAACCTCTCTCTGTTCAGTTTTTGACCTCTGTACCATTTCAAGCTCTTCATTGGACCTTGAAATGCAATAAATAACTGGAAAACTTCTAAAACTTTTGACCGGTAGTGTATCAACTCCTATAATATTAGAATTTGCCTTTAATATTCTAGGGTTAGTAAGTAAATAAGTCACATGAACAGAAGAATTACATAGTCGACTAAAAGCTTGTCTAAAAAGCCGTGTTTTAAAAGAGTCTACAGAGTCTGCCTCACGGAGCGAGGGCCAGGGCAGGGCCTTTCATAATTTGGGGGCCACAGCCTGAAAACAAATATCCCAAATAGTTTTAAATCCGGTCTTTGGGATCATCAAGAAGCCCTGACCAGAGGATCAGAGGGTGCAGCCTGAGGTTTAGATGCACAGTAAGTCACTGATGTACTGGGGTGCCAGGGTAATAACTGGGTTAATTGTTGGTTTGTTAGGACAGCGTGGTAAAAAAGATTATTATTTGGTAATTGCTGCAAGTTTAATGGTATTTCTAATTATATTGCAATTAATATTTATGGACATTTGTGTTTGTGACAGTGTTTCCCAAACTTTTTTCTGAGGACACATATGTTAAAAGTCATGACCCAAGTTTGTAAATGACAAAATAGAGTTGGATGTGATCATCATTGAACATTAATGAGGATATTTTATTGTTGACTGAGAGATCGAGTTTCTGAACATTTAGTATTACTTAAGTTTTAAGCAATGAAAAATGGTAATTGAAGCAGTAATAAAAGGATCCAGAAGTGTCCTGAAGTGCACTGACCTTTGTATCACCTTCTTTTTGGACAACCAAGCAAGTATTTCTCAACTTTAGCTGCAGGAACTCTCGTTCAGGGCAGATAGGATTCACTGACTCACCCTCTTATGTGTCAGAACTGTAGACTGCAGACCTACATGCAGATCGTGACAAGGCGACCCCAGAAAAATCTCTTGTGACCCACCTGAGGGTCATGAGTCTTCGGGAAACAATGCTTTAAAGTAGCATGAAGCACAAAGGCGGAAGGAAAAGTAGTCGACATACACTGTATGTACTGATCTAACTACTGAAGCAGACCTATGGTCCTTGTCTCCACTTTATACATTAGATATAATCTATGACACCATTTCAAATTGGAAAATTGATCTAAAATGACGTGTTAAAAGAAACAAGTCTGCTGACTTCCAGGTTGGAAAATGACAGTGCCCAATGAGGAATTAGGGGCAGATTTCTGCCTGCTCCTTTACAGTACGTTGGTACAGTACGTAAACAATCACAGCAAAGTGCCACATGCTGCCGGCTCCTCATGTGGAGCCTCAGCCCTTATGTTCCTACAAGTCATTTTTATTTTTATACCACATTTAAAGGGACGACTCAGAGTCATTTCAACCTAGAATCCTTTGCACCGTGACCTCTACATGACATCTGTAGTCAACTGCTGCTGGAGAATAGTTGGGTGTGATGACAAAATTGGAAGAAATTGGGATAAAATCTGATGCAGACTGATGATAAAGGAAATGTGGGAACATAAAAAAAAGAACAAAAACTTAGCAATGAGGGAACATAGACATGCTCCCATGTGGAAAACTGCAGATCACAATAGTGAGCATTTTCATTTGTGCCAAAATGGGTGTGCGATGCTGCCAAATCCACCAAACTCATTCAATGTTTTTTTTTATATTTACTACTTTTGACATTTTATACACAAACAAAAATATATGAAGTAAGATATATGGAATTATGTAGCAAAGAAAATAATATATGCTTTATAATTCCATACATCTTCTTATATTTGATGTCTGAAATGTAGAAAGTCGTAAACAGAGAAAAAAAAAAAAAAAAACGCTGAATGAGAAGATGAATCCCAACTTTTGACTGGTGTATGTCTCCTTTAAAAAAAATGTATATGAGGAATGACAGCTAAAAAACTTGTCACTACAATCCAGTTTTCCAATAGGACCACCCTGTCCTTTCGGCTGTGCCTCCCTTTCATTCTACCGACTGACGCCGTAGAGTTTTAGGGTTAAACCTGATGTACCTTTAAGAAATTCCTGAGCGCGTCCTCCACCGTGGCGCTGGGGGGTTCTCCGAATAACGTGGCAGCGACTTTTCTCTCCAGCCACGACAACTGAGCCACCTGAACACAACACAACAAAACACAAAACAAATGTGTGAACAGTGTCAAGGCCGAGCTGCGGCGCGATCCGGTGTCAGACCAACAATCCTCCCTCCCTCACCGCAGCACTAGGTCATGTTTAGAAAAGAAATTACGCAGCAGAGTTTTCCCTTGAATCAATACACAGCCCAGCGCTCTGAAGGTATAGGTTACGGATCAGTTTTCCAGCGTGTCCCCAGTGGAAAATCACATCCAAGCTGCAAGGAGGGCTCTCTTTCTGTTCTCACATCATGGCAGAAATAGCTATTGGACATTTTATTTATTTTATTGAACCTAGTGTTGGATTGTATTATGTAGCTGGTGCTTTATTGTGATATTTTTGCCTGGGATCCCAAATACATCCCTGTCACGATAGTGACTATATCCACTTATCGGCGACAGGAGCTCAGTTGGTAAAAGCGTTTGTCGAATCCTGCTCTCGACGTAAACATCACTGGTTGAGCGCCCAGTCTGTGTCAGAGTCCTGCACGGGTCCATTTTTGGAGATCCGCACCTTATATCAAAGTTAAATCCGCGCCCACCTGGACCCGTTAACATTCCACCTGTTACCCGCCTGTGCCCGTGATAAATCGGGGTCAGCCCATTAGTCCGACAGCCCAATAGTCCACGACTAAACCAGGATTAAACCAGGACTAAACCAGGTCTGAAACTACACCGTGTCATTAATGGATTATAAATATATATACATATATACGCCGCAACTGCAGAGCTGATCACCAGGACTACACCAAAACTACGCCAGGACTGGACCAGGACTAAACCAGGTCTAAACCAGGACTGAGCCAGGACTGAGCCAGGACTGAGCCAGGACTAAACCAGGTCTAAACCAGGTCTAAACCAGGACTAAACCATGACTACACCTACGCCGTGTCATTAGCAGATTATAAATATATACATGCCGGAACGGCAGAGCTGATCGCCAGGACTACACCAGGACGGAACCAGGCCTAAACCAGGACTAAACCAGGACTAGACCAGGACTAAACCAGGACTGAACCAGGTCTAAACCAGGTCTAAACCAGGACTGAACCAGGACTGAACCAGGTCTAAACCAGGTCTAAACCAGGACTGAACCAGGACTGAACCAGGACTAGACCAGGACTAAACCAGGTCTAAACCAGGACTGAACCAGGACTAGACCAGGATTAGACCAGGACTAAACCAGGTCTAAACCAGGACTGAACCAGGTCTAAACCAGGACTAGACCAGGACTAGACCAGGACTGAACCAGGCCTAAACCAGGCCTAAACCAGGACTGAACCAGGACTGAACCAGGTCTAAACCAGGACTAAACCAAGAGTGCAGCTGTTGAGCCGATCTCCTCCGCTGATGATTTTTTGTAATAAAAACACTAAAGTCACTTTCTCAGCCTGGTCCATCGTTCCGGGGAAAGACCGGGAACTTGTTTCCAGGGCAACAGACGTCCTGGACATGCTCCAAGTATTTTTCTCCCGTTCGATGTTCATTTGATTCACCGGACCCTCCTGAGTGTAATCACTACATGCCCGTAAAATTCCAGAATGTTAAAACTCGCCCGTTTCAGCAGCTGTTTGCGGGTACCCGACCTGGTGCAGGACTCTGGTCTGCGTACACTGGTGTGAGTGAGTGGTCCCTCGATGTAAATCACTTTGAGTGCCTTGAACATGGAAAAGCGCTGTATAAAAATGACCAGGGAGGACTAGGAAGGAGGGAAGCAACAGAAAAAAAAATATGTATAAGGTTAACTAAAAACTGTAATTTATTCACTGACAAAAAAAAAAAAAAGTGGTACAGCAGTACGTCCTAGGGATGTAACGATATCCAAAACTCGCAATACGGTATTTCCACGATATTCTTCTCAGAGCATATGATATTTATTGCAGTATTTGTGAAGGTTAACAGAACTGTGATTATGCTACTTCTTTAAAAACACTGACACTGTTATAATGGTACTGAAAAGTTACATAATGTATCTTAAAAATATGGGATAAAGGCCAGGAGAAGCCCAGGTCAAGAACGTAAGGCACCACTCGGCCCCATTCATCAGACTGCTGCTTAATTGTAGGTGTAGCGTTGCTCTGGCGTCATCGCAGAGTCTTTCAAACAGAACCGCTGGCTCCTGCACAAAGTAGATCATTGTTAGCCACAGCGGGACAGCCCATAAAACCCAATACGTGAAAATATCAGGTGTTGAGACTAAACACAAAAATTGCACAGTCCCCTGATGCGTGTCCTATAAGTATTATATAATGTAATGAGAGTTTCCTTCCCTCTCAGGCTCTGACTGACAAACGGCACCAGGCGCACAGACAGACGACTACGAGAAAGTACAGGGTTCACTCTCCTCCTGTGCAGATTAACTTTCACAAAAACACCAGCGAGACGCTGCTCCAGACACAAGCAACAAGAAGTGACACAACCTGAAGTGGAGATCAAACTTTGGTACAGTTAAAGTCATAAATACTACTGCTACTAGTACTACCAATAATAATAATAATAATAATAAAAATAAAAATCTAGAGATCAGGTGCAAACGTAAGATATTATTATCTGCCATCTAACTTAAAGTTAAAATTTAGCAAACTTTTTTTTTTTTAAACTAAACAAAAGAGCCGTGGATCATCTCCTGCAGTTTGACCACAACATGTGATCAAACAGGGTCAAAATACAAGTTACTGAACATTAACTTCAAAAGTTTACATTTTAATAACCCCATGTTTTTTTCTGTTTATTAAACCAACTGTACAAGATAGAAAGCACAAGCACAACGTGGACCTCCATCCATCATTTTTTTTTCTGCTTATCCAGGATCTTCCTTCACCCTGGACACTTCCTCCAGCTCCTCCGGAGGGACCCCAAGACGCTCCCAGGCAAGCCCAGCATGTTCTCCTCTCCACGTGGAGGAGCAGCGGCTCTACTCCAAGCTCCTCCTGTGTGACTGAGCTCCTCACCCCTGTCTCTAAAGGAGCGCCCCTCCTTGAACTGCCACCTTAATGTGGTGGAGGGGTTTAGTGCCCGAATGATCCCAGGAGCTGTGTTGTCGGGGGCTTCATGCCACCCAAGGCAAACAGGTCCAGGGGGACGGATCAGACTAAGAGCGATTCAGAAGTTTTTGTGAAAATTATAAGAAACGAGGCCAGTTATGTCACAAAGCTGTGCCGTGCTTGCAAAGAAGACTGGTTTTAAATGAAGATGTTCTCATCCCAAAGTCTCACCAGTGGCCAGAACTACAAACAAAACTGAACACCAAGAGACGTGGTGAGCGGCACGCACACACAAAACGAGCTATTACAGCTGTGCAGAACTTTTTCTTACAAACAAAGGAGATTGCCAAAGAAGATAGAGTTTTGGCACAGATAAACATCCGTGTGTGTTTAAGTCAGCCTCAGGGCAGCTGTGGCTACAGATGTAATTTACCATCACAATCACGGGGGAGTGAATGAATGAGAGCCTTGTAGCATTTTGAGACGCTTGCCAAACCTAATAGAAATTTAATTATTATTTTTTTCATTCCTACAAAAATAACTCCTCTGACTCTACGTACTGACAAATTTCAAATAAGGTTTTGAGCTATAACCACTGAGCCTGTCATGAGAGAGATTACGATTTTGAAGTACAACACAACCCCCAAAAAACAACCTGAAAGTACAATTATCTTAGTAAAACCTTTTCTAAATGTCCAATATCAGTAAAAACAGGAAGTGCAAAAGATAAATAGAATGAAACACGTCAGTAATTAATTTATATTTATTCATCCCCCTAAGTTCAAAACTAATTGTAGGACAGGAAAATAACAAAAAGTAGCTGTTAGTGCAAAGTAGAGATGCACTGATCCAACTTTTTCAGTTACGGCCCTAAGCCTCCAGTTCTGGCTTGTTTTGTGTGTTTTAATTTCTTTTTCTGGCTCTGCTGATTCCTGCTGTGGGAGCCCTGGTCTGTGATTGGTGGGTTTTGTCTACGCCCACCTCACCTGCAGCCACCGCCCACTATTTAAGGAGACTGCCAGCACCTGTTTGGGGCTGCTTGTCTTCGTGCCCAGTGTCATTTAGTTCTGTGTCTCTTGTCTTCTGTCACTGTGTTTGTATTTCTGTCTGTTTGTATTTTTCGTCCCCTTCGTTAATGTGTCTCTGATTTTGTGTCACTTAGATTTTATGTGACTTTGTACGAGACACTCGGCATCATGCATGACTTTTGTATGTTGGTTCGTCTTGTGTTGCAGTCCTTTTGGTTCATTTCTGTACAGTTAGTTTGCTTTGATTTCATCCCTTTATGTACATATTTTAGCCTGTTTTGTTAAATTTACCTTTTACATCCCTGTTGATTAAACATTATTTAATTTATTCCATTCTCCATCTTGGTTCTTTTGTTACTTCCTCTGTCCCTAGCAGGGCTGGGTCGTAACAGATATTGATTCCGATAAAAATCTCTATGTATCTGCTGTTCCCAATATCAACAGATAACAGTGCTGAGACTGAAAACAGCATTTATTTGCTTTACAACCCAAATAAAATGAGGCAAAACTGATCCAAATGTGTTGCGTTGCAGTTTTATCTCTGAAGTTACTACAGGTCATCCATCCATCCATTTTCTTCCGCTTATCCAGGGCAGGGTCGCGGGGGCAGCGGTCTAAGCAGGGACTCCCAGACTTCCCTCACCCCAGACACGTCCTCCAGCTTCTCCGGGGGACCCTGAGGTGTTCACAGACCAGCCGAGAGACATAGTCCCTCCAGCGTGTCCTGAGTTTTCCCCGGGGCCTCCTCCCGGAACACCTCCTGAGGGAGGCATCCAGCAGACATCCGGAACAGATGCCCGAACCACCTCAACTGCTCCTCTCGACGTGGAGGAGCAGCGGCTCTACTCCGAGCTCCTCCCGTGTGACTGAGCTCCTCACTCTATCTCTAAGGGAGCACCCAGATGCCCTGCGGAGGGAACTCATTTCGAGCGCTTGTATCCACGATCTCGTCCTTTCGGTCACTACCCAGAGCTCATGACCAGAGGTGAGAGTAGGAACGAAGACTGACCGGTAAATCCAGAGCTTCGCCTTTCGACTCAGCTCCTCTTCACCACAATGGTCTGATACAGCGACCGCATCTCTGCCGACGTTGCACCGATCCACCTGTCAATCTCACGCTCCATCCTCCCCTCACTCGAGAACAAGACCCCGAGATACTTGAACTCCTCCACTTGAGACAGGGACTCTCCACCCACCCAGACAAGACAAGACACCTTTTTCCGGTCGAGAACCAAGGCCCCGAACTTGGAGGAGCTGATCCTCATCCCAGCTGCTTCACACTCGGCTGCAAACTGCCCCAGTGCACATTGCTACTACAGGTCAACTTTGAGTAAATAAAAGTTTAAAGATTATGAGACTTTCTGGGCCCACTAAGACCAGTAAATAGTCTTATTACCTCAGGATATCAAATGAAGCGATATTTGGAAATTGTTCAGTGTCAGAGCCAAGGAAAGGAAAGGAAAAGCACCTACGATAAATAAATATTGCCAGTAAAAAAGAATAGTTTCATAGGTCTGTATAGAAATGACTGTGACCGGTGTTCGTGATAGAGAAACATTGGGAACAAACTGTGCAGCCAAAATAGGAAGAACCCGTTTGATCCTTTGGTCCAATCTGATGTGGGTTTAACAATGGCCGCGCTCCCCTCCTATAGAGCGCCTGTGTGAAGAAAAACAAACCAGGGGCAAACTAAACACGGACAGAATGAGAGGAAGTATGGGTGGTGTTTGAAACAGCCATAAATTCACAGATAAGAGAAATGCACTGGACGTTTTACTGTGATGAATGAATTAGTTTGGGTTTTTGCTTCCAGACTCGCTGACATCGAGCTTGACAAATGTTTGCGATATAATACAGTGTTGTTGTTCAGTGCAGGTGTTACTCTACGTTAAAGCCACAATGTCCACGTTTAAATGATGTTTTTTTAAATTTAATGGACGCATCAAGAATCTTGGACTTCCTGTCATTGCGCAATTCATAGTGGGAAGGATTTTACGAAAAAGTGAGCATCAAACCGCATGTTTGATTTCCCAGTGGGATGCGTCTATTAACAAAGTCGATCTTTTCAAGTCTTTTGAACCATATCGCTTTTGTTTCTGGTTCTGATATAGGCGAGTTTCATTGTTGACAAAAGCGCGCGTTGCATGCTGGTAATTATTTTGGTCGGCGGCAAGAAACACTAATTCAACATGACGGACGGAGCGAGAAAACACGTAAAGGGTATTGATCCCGGTTATTTATCCACTCTAACGGCAGAGGACCCAAGACCATTTGACCAGAAATTGGTCATAAAGCATCGACGGACGACAAATCACCCTTTTCAACCCCGACAAAAGGTGGACCAAACCAAATTTCTGGTCAGAATCACCAACTACCTGGACAAATATTAACTTGGGCGATATCCACAATGACTTGGTGGAAACTCCTGGGCCATTCACAGCAGAAAAGATGAAAACCTCCAAGAGTCTCGATGTGTTGCTGAACTTGTTGGAGTCCACGGTTTGTTAGGATCTTCTACATTTGCTCTGCGAATGTCTGAAAGCCGCTTAATTCACCGTTAGCGGTTCTTTTCACTCGGAATACGAAAAAGACATTTTCCTTCTTCCGTGCTTCTATTTGTGCATCCGATAATGCAGCAGGAATTTACCATTATCGGGGAGAAATACGCAAGGTTACGCACTGTGTTTGACCACTATCGGGTTTCTTGCCTCCGACCAAAATATTTCCCAGCATGCAACGCGGGCTTTTAATAACAATGACGTCAGCTGAAACTCGCCTATTGTCATATTTTAGTTTTGGGATACGGACATCGTAATCGTGTGGTTGTTGGATCCTAACAGCGGAAAACGGCTCGAGAAATTTGTTTGCGAACACCATAAATGCAAAAGTGAATCAGATGTGTGTGACTGCAAACCTCCGTTCAAACTGTTTCCCTTCCCAACGGAATTGAAAAATAGTGAAAGGCGAAGGCGATGGGCAGGATTGATCCACAGGAAGGACCAAAAAGTAAACATTTGACTACTTAAATCATCCCGAGTTTGCAGCGAACATTTTGTATTTTTGTTTAAAGGATATAAAATCATATTCTCATTCTCGGCCATAGTATCGGTTGATATCGAGTAACGGCCGATACTTAAAGCCAAAGTATCGACATCGGTATTGGAATAGAAAAGCTGGACAGGTGCATCCCTAATAAACAGTATCGTGTGTAAACGACCAAATTAAAAACAACCTTGAGCCCCATGTCATGTACAGGAATAGATTGTCTTAATATTGCCTGAATAATAACAATAAATAAATAAGTTGAATTCATTAATATTGAGTTTCTCAGTTTAGTTCCTCTGAATGTGACTTTATATATTTGTGTGATACATACAGCGTAGCACCAGCGCCCCAGCAGGTAGTAGGACAGAGGGTCGTGTGGCTTCAGCTCAATGGCTTTATCCAGATGATCCTGAAAAACACACAGACAGTGAGTTGAGTATAACAGTATAAAACATTTCTTTTCACAATAAGGGTGAACAATTCAATCAATTTCAAAATAAAGTTAAGGTCGTGGTTCTCAGTCTTTTGTACCTAGTGTCACCTAACTTAATGTTTGGTTGCCCAAGTATCGCCAGATTGAAACTATCTGTCAGGTCTAAATTCTGAAATAAACTCTGCCGATATATTTGGCCCATTTGCAAAACAATAACCACAGATTTGAAATGACTACAGACTCATCCACAAACCTGTTTCACTACAAAGTCGATACAGGAGCTGTGGAAGTTATTTTAGCATTCAAGTTCAAATAAGGTCCTATGCATATTCTTCAGGCATCTGATTGGACAAGATATTGACTTCTGCAAGAGATTTAAAGCCAGTAGTTGATGCTAAAAAGTGCAAATATCAGCCTAATATAGTTTACGAGCTTAAAAATTAAACAATGTTAGTTTGAAAATAATGATTAAACCAAAGGAAGATAAACACACTGATAGATTTGTCTCTGAATAAAACAAATATTCAGTTCTGTATTTGTATTTGATCCATCCTTCAACTTGCACCTCCAGTTCGTGATCCAGTCTCGGTCAGAACTACGTGGATGAATCAATAAATCAATCAGTTCATCTTTATTCCGGACTCATGCTCGATTTTTAAAAGCAGACAAGGACAGTGACAAAACAAAACAATAAACATTTATGTTTTTTAAAAGACGGCCACACCAGTGTCTCCACATGTTGGACTGACATCGTATTGCATTGAAACCCACATTTCTGAGTGACATTATTATCTCATTGTCTGATTTGTTCAGTCTGCAGATAAAACTGTACAGTCGTCCCTCGCTATATCGTGGTTCACCTTTCGCGGTCTCGCTGTTTTGCAGATTTTTGATTTTTGATTTTTTACAGCGTATAAGCGTGTATTGTGTTCCTCTCCGTGTGTCCTGATTGGCTAAGAGATTGTAGACCGTTGTCAATCAATCTAGTCTGTGCCGTGTCTCCTGTTCAGTACAAAATGTGTTCAGCTGCCAAATTTATATAAATGTTCGATCGCTACAGTGTGATTCTGAAGTGCAGCGCGATCAGGCAACTGTCGCGCTTAACTCCGAGAGGTTCACAGCTCTCTGTCAGTCCTTTCTCCTGTGGTCACCTCCGAGCCCGTCCCGACAGTGAGTCCTGGTTCAGTTCTGGTTCAGTCCTGGTTTAGTCCTAGTTCAGTCCTCTTCACTCCTGAAATCAGCCCTAGTGTCATGGTTCATGTTTTGTAGTCGTTGTTTTTGCTTATTTTGATATCTTTTTCCTGTAGTGTAGTGTGCCTTTAGTGTTTCCACATTTGTCCTGTCAGCTTGTAGTTTTGAGTTTTACTTCCTGTCTTGATTGTTTGCCCCGCCCTAATGTGTTTCACCTGTGTCTGTGTGCATTTATACCCTGTGTTCTCGTCTGCCGTTTGTTGGTCCATTGTCTCTGTCAGAGTTTCTCCTTGTCTCGTGTCATGGCATTTTAGTCTTGAGTTTTGGATTTTTTTTTGTTTTGTCATTAAATACTTTGAAGCAGTCCTGCATTTTGGGTCCTCCCTCTGTTTCTTCGTGACACCTAGGTTAGTCCTGGTGTAGTCCTGGTTTAGTCCTGGTTTAGTCCTGGTTTAGTCCTGGTTTAGTCCTGGTTCAGTCCGTAGCGTAGGCAGCGCAAAAGTTTGATATAATCTCGGTTTAACGGGCGGGTGCGGGCCTGTCTTGTGTGAGTGCGGGTCTCCAAAAATGGACCCGTGCAGGACTCTGCGCTGTAGGACTCCATTACGGAATAAATGAATCTTCAGTTCGTTACATAAAGAAGGAGGAAAATAACAAAAGGACGACAGAAGCAATAAGTTTTAAGAAGGACGTAAAAAGTGTTGTAACTGTCCTGTGTGACAAAAGTGTATAAAGTTTGTGCTGAGGGGTTTTACAGCCTTAAAACAGACATAATAATTGTAAAATATAAAGTTGACGACTTCACAGATTTCACCTATCACGGGTTATTTTTGGAATGTAACCCCCGCGATAAACGAGGGACCACTGTACATTAAAGTTCGTAGCAGAGCTTGCAGAGAGTTACTAACAAACATCTGCGTCGCCTCCTCAGAAGAAACCCAAAAAGTGTTAATGTAGCCCACCTGTAGTCTTTGCAAACTGGATTTTTTGTAAATAGTCCAGACGTGGGCTGTGTAAAACGGTGTACAATATGATTTAATAACAACTTTATACTTACTTTATTTGTACAAGAGCCAAACTTAGGCATTTGCTTGAGCATAGAGCGTCTACACTGTCTATAAATATCAAAATATCATCATCATCTGGCTGAATGTAAATATTGTGCATGTTTTTGGATTGATGTCCGGAGGAAACCCACCAGACACGGAGAGAACGTAACAAAACCAGACCAGAAGTTAAACCCACAACCTTTTTGCGACTCAGCCACTATATGACACACGGACAAAGCAGATTTTACACAAAAAGAATCCAGAACATTCTTGTTGTGAGTCACGACCAGGTTGTTTTTTTGACGCTCTCTCTGCCCGGACCTGAGCTGTCCTGCTTCATCACCCCACAACAATCTCAAAACCTCAAACGCACCGGAGCTGAACGTCCCTCCCAAACTCACTTTCCTTTAACCCTCTCTCTCTCTCTCTCCTTTTCATCTCTTCTCTGCTCTCTCTCTTCTCTTTCTCTCTTCATCCCTCTCTCTTTTACACTTCCTGTCCGGTCTCTCTTCCCGCTCTCTCCCTCCTGATCTCCTATCGCTTTCAAACTCTCTCCTTTCCTCTAGACTCTCTCTCTCTCTCTCTCTCTCTACCCTCCTCTTTTGTCCCCCTCTCTCTCCCTCCATCTCCTCCCTCCCCTCTCTCTCTCTCTCTCTCCTTTCATCTCTTCTCTGCTCTCTCTCTTCTCTTTCTCTCTTCATCCCTCTCTCTTTTACACTTCCTGTCCGGTCTCTCTTCCCGCTCTCTCCCTCCTGATCTCCTATCGCTTTCAAACTTTCTCCTTTCCTCTAGACTCTCTCTCTCTCTCTCTCTCTCTCTACCCTCCTCTTTTGTCCCCCTCTCTCTCCCTCCATCATCTCCCTCCCCCTCCCTCCCTCTCTCCTCTCTCGCAGACCTTTTAACCTTTCTGTCTCTCTCCCCCTACCACCATCCTCTATCTCTCTCACACACTCCCTAGTCCTTCCTCCCTCCTCTCTCTCCTTCCTTGAATTCTCTCTCCATCTTTAAATTCTCTCTCTCTCTCCCCCTGCATTTTCTCTCTCTCTATCTCTCCTTCAATTTGTTCTCTCTCTAGTCCTTCAATCGCACTCTCTCACTCCGTCCTGAAACTCTGTCTCTTTCCCTGTCCTTCATTTCTCTCTCTATCTCTCCTTCAATTCATTCTCTCTCCTTCCTTCAGTTTTCTCTCTCTCAGTCCTTCAAATCTCTGTCTCTGTCCCTGCATTCTCTATCTCTATCTCTCCTTCAGTTCATTCTCTCTTTCCATCCTTCAATTCACGTTCACTCTCGCTCTCTCTCTCTGTCCTTCAATTCTGTCTCTTTCCCTGTCCTTCATTTCAGTCTTTCAAATTGCTCTCTCACTCTCTCTCTGTCCCTGCATTCTCTCTTTCTCCATCTCTCTTTCAATTCATTCTCTCTCTGTCCTTCAATTCACTCTCTCTTTCCTTCAGGTCTCTCTCTCAGACCTTCAAATCTCACTTTCTCTGTCCCTGCATTCTCTTTCTCTCTATCTCTTCTTCAGTTCTTTCTCTCTCTCTCCGTCCTTCTGTTCACATTTGCTCTGGCGCTCTCTCTGTCCTTCAGTTCTGTCTCTCTCCCTGTCCTTCAATTCTCTCTCTCTCTCCATCCTTCAATTCACGTTCACTCTCTCTCTCTCTGTGTCCTTCTCTCTCTCTCCTTCTCTGTCCCTGCATTCTTTCTCTCTCCTTCAATTCATTCTCTCTCTCTCCATCTTTCACTCCACGTTCGCTCTCCCTCCCCTCTCTGTCCTTCACTTCTGTCTCTTTCTCTGTCCTTCAAATCTCTCTCTCTCTCGCAGTCTTTCAACTCTCTCTCTCTGTCCCTGCATTCCCTCTCTCTATCTCTCCTTCAGTTCATTCTCTCTCTCCATCCTTCAATTTACTCTCTCTTTCACTCCTCCAGTTCTCTCTGTCTCTGTCTCTCTCCATCCTTCAATTCACATTCACTCTCTCTCAGTCCTTCAGATTGCTCTCTCTTTCTCTGTCCCTACATTCTTTCTTTCTCTCTCTCGCTATCTCTCCTTCAATTCGTTCTTTCTCTCTCTGTCCTTCAATTCTGTCTCTTTCCCTGTCCTTGAACTTCTCTCTCTCTCTCTCTCCATCCTTCAATTCACGTTCACTCTCTCTCTCTCAGTCCTTCAGATTGCTCTCTCTCTCTGTCCCTGCCTTCTTTCTCTCTCCTTCAGTTCATTCTCTCTCTCTCTCCATCTCTCACTTCACGTTCGCTCTCCCTCCCCTCTCTGTCCTTCACTTCTGTCTCTTTCCCTGTCCTTCAAATCTCTCTCTCTCTCTCGCAGTCTTTCAGATCTCTCTCTCTGTCCCTGCATTCCCTCTCTCTATCTCTCCTTCAGTTCATTCTCTCTCTCCATCCCTCAATTCACGTTCACTCTCTCTCTCTCTCAGTCCTTCAGATTGCTCTCTCTCTCTCTGTCAATACATTCTTTCTCTCTCCTTCAGTTCATTCTCTCTCTCTCTTTCCATCTCTCACTTCACGTTTGCTCTCTCTCTCTCTCCTCTCCTCCCCTCTCTGTCCTTCACTTCTGTCTCTTTCTCTGTCCTTCAAATCTCTCTCTCTCACAGTCTTTCAAATCTCTCTCTCTGTCCCTGCATTCCCTCTCTCTGTCTCTCCTTCAGTTCATTCTGTCTCTCTCCATCCTTCAATTTACTCTCTCCATCTCTCTTTCAGTTCTCTCTCTCTCTCTCTCCATCTTTCAATTCATGTTCACTCTCTCTCAGTCCTTCAGATTGGTCTCTCTTTCTCTCTCTCTGCCCCTGCATTCTTTCTTTCTCTCGCTATCTCTCCTTCAATTCGTTCTCTCTCTCTCTGTCCTTCAGTTCTGTCTCTTTCCCTGTCCTTCAGTTCTCTCTCTCTCTCTCTCAGACCTTCAAATCTCTCTCTCTGTCCCTGCATTCTCTCTGTCTCTGTCTCTTTTCAGTTCATTCTCTCTCTGTCCTTCTATTCACGTTTACTCTGGCTCTCTGTCCTTCAGTTCACACACTCTCTCTCTCTCTCTCTTCTTCAAATCTCTCTTTCTCTCTCTTTCTCTTTCCCCGTCTATCCCCCCCTCCCTCCGCTCCGTCTATCCTCTCTCTCATCGGGACACATACAGGTACGCTGCGTGTGGGAGAAGCCGTTGACAGGAGATAAGAAAGGTACGTGCCGCTGTCCCACGCTGTGATTATGCAACGAAAAGTGATTTCAAAAGCTTTAAGTGGGCATTTCATTCAGGGCTAAGAACATAGGACAGCTTTAAGTCCCGGGATTAAGGCAAATATTTAGAAATGGAGCTATAGTTTGTCTAGTAAAACCATCACCAATGCTTTTATTATCCCGATATGTCAGATTTACGTAAAGTGTGTTCAATGGTCTATATCCGATGTCTTCCCATGAATCTGAGCTCAGTGTGTCTTGCCCCAAAGCAGAGATATTGTAAAAGCAGCTCTTGGGGTCAAAATAAGTCAACCGGGTACTAAATAACATCTAAATATAAAGCGTTTTCTTGTCAGGAAGTGTGTCAGGAGTGGTTAGGATGCTAGTGGTTGTTATCGTGATGTTAAAGTTTTGAGAAGCGCCTGTAAACTCATCACCGTGAATAATTACGATGCTCAGAATGAATAAGGTAAGTGAAGATATAACTGTGGACCACTGCACGCCATTTAGAATTATCTAGCGCAGAGGTGCTCACACTTTTTCAGCATGTGAACTACTTACAAAATGACCAAGTCAAATGATCTACCTAATACAAAGCCAAGCAAACTGCACTGAAACACTCTGTGCCCCTTTTTTGGACCCTCACCCACAGTTTGAGAACCTCTTCTTTAAGAGAACTTCCTCTGGCACTTTACACAAAACTGTGAAAAAAGTGAAGGAAGTAGGTAAGATTTTTTAAACCAGTTTTTTAAAGTTCCAAACTGGAGTTTCATTCTTTTCTGGTTTTGCAGTGATATTTACCAGCCTCTGCACGTTTACCAAACCAAACGCACATCGTGACAAACACAGATGCATTTGTCACTTTTGTTAGACAAACTTCAGCCAAATGTGGCAGTAGGTCTGTTCTGTAGATCTGCTCTATGCTGTAGACCTGCTTTGTGCCAACACTGGAACACAAATTTAGACTGGTTTTTGCTTCACGTTTGGTCTTGCTCTTCTAATCAGCCGCACTGTGGGAGGGGCTTGTGTTGGCTGTACGCAGGAAGGAGCGAGAGCGTGAAAAGGCGAGGGGCGGCGTGCTGACGTGAGGCAGATGGACAGGTAGGATGTTTAGGAAGTTGAACTTGCCCTGTGATGCACGCTGGTACACGAGGGCACACGCTGTCGCAGACGAGCCGTGCATAGGGAGCGTGTGTGTTTGTGATGCGCCGTAGAGTCTCCGCGGGTTTCAAATGAGCGCACAGGCTGCACTGAGACGCCCCACACGCTCCTGCACCCGCTACAAGTTTATTACCAACAGCAGCGGCCGGAATGAAATATGATCACACTTGTTGAGTGTCAGACCTCGAGTGAGAGACAAGACAGAGTCCAAACGTGATCGAGTCCGAGATGAGACACGGCGATCTACCCACACGACCTTGGCGATCGACTGGTAGATCGGGATCGACGTATTGAGCAGCCCTGATCTAGCGTATTTTTGGGACTACAAAAGGGGGCGCTCTAGTCTTGTGTGTCAGTATCTGCTGCTCCTGTTCCTCCTGTACCACTGTCACTTGGCTCTACTGCACATGTCTCCTGCAGAAAGAGCCTCTGTCAAATCAGTCGGTCACACCATCACTTCTGTACCACTGAAAATTTTAAAATTATAAAGATGACTGAGAAGACTGAACACAAACGCCCCCAAAACGAAAATCTGATTTTCCACATTACAAGCTGCAAGTCGTGAAATCTGCAGCCGAAAATGGTAAACGAGCAGCAGAAAGAAAGTTTGGAGTGAGAGAGAAACTTGTGACACCGGGAGGATGCACCATGAAACTTTCCTGAAGTCACTACTCGATGCTTATTAAAATACATTTGATCACATTTCTCATACAGGGACAGTGGGTTCTATAAAACTCACCTTAAAGATGTAGCCGTTCTTGATTTTGTTCTGTATTGTGTCATGTTCAGCCATGATCCCACACAAAATGGCATACCTGCGGACAAAAACACAAGCACATTTAAACTCTGACTTTTCATCAAGTCATATAAAAAAAAAGTAAAAATACGACGAAACAATAATAGAAAATAGAACAGAAAGCCTTTATTGTCATTACACACAGTGTAATAAGAAACAGAGCAGCTCCTTCAAAGTGCACACAGCGCAGCATAATAAAATATAATAATATCCTAAAACTAACAACTACTATAATAGAGTGGCGGCAACAATTAATTGGAATAATTACATTAATCAGTGACTATTTTGATAATTGTTAATCGTTATCTGGATACACACAGATTCTATGGCAGAGTTTCAAATGATTTCACAACATTTGATAGACCAATAATACACTGCTCAAAAAAATTAAAGTTTAAACTTTGAAAGCTCATCAGATCTCAATGTGAAAAAAAAAAAAATGCTGGATATCTATACAAATATGGACAGAGCAATGTCTAATGTACAAAAAAATCCCACCTCTTAATGGAAATAAAATGTAGCCACACAGGGCTTAATTTTATAGACACCAGTAAAATCAAAGTGAATTAATGATGTCACAGGTCAGTCTGTTTTGCTAAAATTTAATTTCTGCATCTCAAAATACTTCTCATTCTCTTGTGTGGCCCCCACGTGCTTGTGTGCATGTTTGACAACATTGTGGCATTCTCCTAATAAGACGATTGATGGTGTCTTGTGGAATGTCCTCACAAATCTGTGTAAGGGCATCACTGAGCTCCTGTAGAGTGTGAGGAGCAACCAGGTGGCGTCTAATGGACCCAAACATAAAATTTGCCAGAGGTGTTCTATCAGGTTTAAATCAGGTGATCGTGAGGGCCATTCAGTTGTATCCTTCAGGTTCTGCCTGCAGACTCTTGCAGAACACAGGACCTACTGCACCAGCGTAGGGTCTGACAGTGTATTCAAGGAGTGTTGGGTGCAGGTCCCACAACAGGACGTAGCACCCTCAAGCCGCTCTCATGAAATCTGTTTCTGATCGTTTGGGCAGAGACATTCACACCAGTGTCCTACTGGATGTCATTCTGTAGGAAAGGGGCAGTGCTCAACTGGTTCCTCTTCGCACTCTCCTGGAGTAACTGTCTGTCTCCTGAAATCTCCATGTTCTGGAAATTGTGCTGGAGACACATTAAATCTTCTTGCAACAGCACGTCCAAATGTGCTATTCTGGAGAAGTTGGACAATGTCCTCAACTTCTGTAGGGTTAAAGAATAGCCTCATACTTGTAGTTGTAGTGATAATAAGTCTAATCAAAGCAGGACTAGTGGAAAACCATCCAAAAAGACCAAGAGAGAGAAACTTGAACTGGCCTCCTCGTGCAAAACCAGTCCTGTTTTAGGGTTTGTCTCATTGTTGCTGCTCTAGTGCATCTGTTGTTCATTTCCATTAACAGAGGTGCATCCTTTTGTTCCTAAGACACGTCCCTGTCCATATTTGTACAGATATTCAACATTCACATTGAGATCCGATGTGTTTTCAAAGTGTTCCTTTAATTTTGGTGAGCAGTTTAGAAATAATCAAGTCCAACATTTGTGAATTATTATATATATAAACAGAAAGTACAGAGTAATCAATAAGGAAAACTGCCTCTTGCCTCCCCCATCTGGGAGTACGACATAATTGCATTCAAGAATCTGGGTGTGTTCGCTCTAGTCTTGGTTTGGTCCTGGTCTGATCCCAAAGTAGTGATCTTGTTTTGTTGAAATCAGGAAGACATACAGCTCCAGATCCACGTCTTTGTACAGTTTTGTCAGAGCGTTTCATTCTGGCTGGCCAAAAGACGTTTCAGACCATCGTTTATTGAAATCTAAACGGTGAAAAACGATACACAACTTGATATTTTCCTGATTAATACACTTCAATCGCGAGGTTCTCCATCACGAAGCCTTCAGTCAGCATGTATATAACCGCGTCCTTCATTTACTAATAAAGTTGTCAATATGAAACGCGCAATTGACTTTTCTGATATGGCAGTTGTCAGTACAAGAAACAAACCAAAACAATAACCACCAACCGAAATGACACAGAAGCGTGTGGACTTCAAACACATTCAAGACACAGCCAGGAGCCATAAACCGATAAATCAATCAATGCGTGACTCATGGTTTAGACAGTTAGGATCAGGTAAATGCTGCAGGGCCACTGTGATCTTACTCCACCAAACTCACTGCACAACCTGAACCTTTGGCCCAGCAATAAACAGTCAACCATTTACATAACATTCATTAATTAACTGTTTGTTTACTGATACTTTGCAGCCGATGCCAACAACAGTCCCTGGGAGGTTCTGGTTCAATAATTGGCAAACTCCAAATGGATATCACTCAATCGAAGCGAAAGTGACTACGTGACGTGAAGGTTTTGCCAGATAATTTTTAATGAAGACCTGTTGTACTTGTGTCTGTTATTATATAATTAGAATCTACAACACCAAGGGATCATTATGTTATAATTTGGACCATTTAAAACAGGATATTAATCTAATCGAGTCTGCTGACGTCCGCGTTGGAAAACCGTGGTGCCCATCGGGAGCTGACGTCGCCGTGAACGTCATCGCAACGAAGAGTCCCGCCTAAGGACAGAAACAGCCTGACGAGTTTTCTTATTTTAATTTCTACCAAAAAGACTACGTGATGCTGCGAATCGTATGTGTATCGCCGAATAAGAAAGTAAAATTGGAGAAAAACAAAGTAAGTAGAAAGCAAGGGGTTAGGCAATATGGTGTCTTGAAAATAAAGATTTAAGTTACTCAAACACGCACAAATCACTCCAAATACAATTTCAAGAGGGTAAATGAGAAGAAAAACAACTATAACTATCAGGCAATTTCATACCAGGTTATATTAGGTTTTAAGGTTCGATACATGTATGGATTGTAAGAGAATTTAAGTAATTTATCTTCCAAGTGCATTTCAGTTTAACATTGACACAAAAGCTATATTTACACAATAATCTTCCCTTGGCAGACCATTGGCAGACCACTGTCTAAATTGTGGCTGTGGATGAATTTAACTAATTGTTTATAAAACAAGCCATTCTGCACTGGAGCTCTGTAACACTTTATTTTGTAATTGTGTTTTTATTCATGGTTCGTGGATGAATGAAATGTGAAATGTGGAACCTGCCTCTCAAATCTGCAAAGCAAATTTACCTACGGGTACGAATAAAGCGACCTAACCTAACTTAACCTAAGCGTACTGGCCTTTATAGTCTCACCACTCGCTTTATTAACCTCCTCCTCTGGAAGCAGAGTAAAGGGGCTTGAACACTCAAAAATCATACTATGTTGACTTTTCAAATCCCTCCGGGCCCGTATTATTGATGGTAAATAAACTTCTCCTGCGTAAGACGTCCAGTTGGTCTCCAGCCTTTTACTTCCATCCTTTCTTGGACAAGCTGAAAACTTCGACAACATGGATGATAAGACCTGATGTTGATGTTTTCGATGCTCCTCAAGAGTTTTCCATCGGATGTTGGAGCATAGATGTTACACTGCTTTTTCCTTAATGCCCGAAGATACAAAATGTGCTGCTCTTCTCTCCTTCTCTCTCTGCTTTTCAAGTTTACTCCTCTGAAGCGAACTAGAGGCACTGCTCTGTCTGAAGCTGTGTTACTAAAGTTCAGATACATCCAAGATTAAAGTCTAACGCAATCTGACCATAAAGAACTGACCTCGCTGGAACTACAACATGCGAGTTGATGTGTGCTGTTAAACAAGTCCCTTATTATGCTGTTTGCTAAAGTGTGCCTGATCCTGATGCGCAGATGCACGTCTAGACCTCTGCGCATCAGGATCAGCGAACACAGAAGGAACATCAGGTGTGGCGATGGAAGCAACCCCACGGCGGCACATTTCAAAAAGGCTGACCACAACCTCTGCTACTTTCAATACACTGGAATAGAAAAAGTAGACAAACCCCCCCAGAGGCGGTAATCGCAAATGTTTATTACTGCAGCGTGAAACTTACTACATACACACACTCAACACTATGGCTCCAGCAGGTTTAAACGAAGAGTTAGATATAAAACCATTTTTGTAGGTCAGTGTTTTTTGATATGGTCTTTCATACCAATGTCATGATTGTATATTGTTGTCATTGGACTCTCTTCAAGCTCATAATGTTTCCTTGTGATTTACAATCTTTACTGAACAAGTGTTTGATAGTTTTTCTGGTACATATTATATACTGTATACAATCGTCCCTCGCTATATCGTGGTTCACCTTCCACGGTCTCGCTGTTTCGCAGATTATTTGTGTGTGCAGTTTTGCATGCGTTTTTTACAGTGTTTGAATGCGTATTGTGTATTACAGGCGGGTAGTAATTACACACGGGTGGGTCAGGACTAAACCAAGTCTAAACCAGGGCTAATCTTGGACTTAAGAGAGAGAACCCTGAGCAGGGTGTCCGCAAAGCGCTCTTCATCGGTCCGTTCTCCTATGGTCATCTCCGAGCCCGTCCCGACAGTGAGTCCTGTTTCAGTTCTGGTTTAGTCCTAGTTCAGTCCTGGTTTAGTCCTCCTCTTCAGTCCTGGAATCAGTCCTAGGTTAGTCCTGGTTTAGTCTTGGTTCAGTCCGTGGCGTAGGCAGCACAAACGTTTGATATAATCTCGGGTTAATGGGCGGGTGTGGTCCTGTATTGCGCGGGTGCGGGTCTCCAAAAATGAACCTGTGTAGGACTCCATTTTGGAATAAATTAATCTTCGGTTTGTCACATAAAGAAGGCAGAAAATAACAAAAGGACGACAGCAGCAATAAGTTTTAAGAAGGATATAAAAAGTGTTGTAACTGTCCTGTGTGAGAAAAGTGTATAAAGTTTGTGCTGAGGGTTTTACAGACTTAAAACAGATAGAATAATTGAAAATATAAAGTTGACTACTTCGCGGATTTCACCTATCGTGAGTTATTTTTAGAACATAACCCCCGCGATAAACGAGGGAACACCATATACACTCTTGACGGAAAGTTTTTTTCTACTTCTGAC